CTGCTCCAAGGCTTAGCTCCATCCTTGTTTCTATTTCTGCCCTGAGTAGAGATGGGCATGAATTTAAAGAAACAAATAATAAAATTTGTTCAAAAATAGCTAATTAATTGATTTATATTTGTACAAATCAACGCTCTCAACAAATCATGAATCAATGAAAGTTTAGTGCTTCTGCTTCATGGTCTCTGTGAATGCACATTATAGGGTTTAATCTGTGCCTGCACAGAGGTTTCTGGAATGTTCTAGAGCTTTATTGCGCATTCACCAGGACCACGTGGTCTGTCCATCCAGGCCATAGTTCTTTTTTTCCACCGCTGAGGTTTCATCTCATGACGAGCTCTCCGTTCGCCATTATCTTCTCTTCAACTGTTAAAGAAAGAAAAATAGAGGGAGATCAGTGAGAGACTTTCACTCTTTCTGCCACCCTTTCCCCTTCCTTCCCACCATTTTATGGCCCCCACAGGGTCATTAAAGCAGTGTACTTCCTGCCCTAATAAGATTCACCTCTCCAACGGATATGACTCCTGTCTTTTTTGTTTTGGAGAATCACACCAACCATCTTCATGTCAAGCCTATAGAAATCTTAAAAAACAGGCTCTCAAACTCTGGGAATAGTGCCTCAGATCTTTCCTGTGGGAATGCTCCCTCCATCCAGTACCACCTATAATGGAAGCCACACAGACTTCCCAGCCTCACACTATCTCTCCAGTTATACCCACTACTTCTGCGACTTCAAAACCGGTCTCATCAAAGCCAACATCTAAATCCACCTCTGTGTCCAAAACCTTGGGATCGACATTGAAATCGACACCGACATCGAAGCTTCCCTCAACATCGGAGCATTCCAGATCCAAGAAACCAAAGAAATCTTCTACAGATTCCCAACATACTAAACAACCATCGCCTTCTCAGTCTGCAACTGATAAGCCCATGTCTTAACTCCCCATTCGAGACCAACCAACCTTCTGCCTCGACTCTCCTTCTCCGGATGATTACTCTATTTCCCCACCATCTGGCCAATCACTTTCTCTTTTACTCACCCAAGTCTCCAGCATGGACTAATACCTCAGCTGAGGTAACATTAATTCCACAATTGGCCTATTCGAGCCCCAAATCCATGGGCTGCTCTGCCTCTGAATCGGATTCAGTGTCTCTCCTAGCTGATCCGTTACCTTCATGTAAACCAGTGGTTCTTAACGTGGGCGATCAGGGATGCTGCCATTGTACGACTCCCAGGCTCGATACCATCCAAAGTTACCTTATACGATGCTCCAACCTACTACAAGCCTCCACCCAAACGATATCAACACCAGTCATATCGATATTGGCAATCTGATATCAGTCTCTACATAGAGCTGAAACACCCTTGGTATGCTTACTACTATCCTTCCAATTCCTCGGACTCACCGTCTCCCCTCAATATCATCTGAGAGCCCAGGAATACTACCAATCTTCTTCTGAGGATGATACTGCACCTCCTCCCTGGTATCGAAACCACATAAGACCTCTCGTAAGAGGAGTCATCTTGTTGAGCCCTTCACCACTCAGCCAACTACGGTACCGAAACGGCCTCATCTGTTGACTTTGGCTACATCACAAGCTGCCGAATCTGCCACGCTCTCGCACGTACGTTCCTCTTCTCTTCAAGTTACTACCACCTACACCAGACCCTCGCCTGCATCTCTAGATATTCCCAGGCCCACCAACTTAAGCGCCTTAGACCTCACCATTTTATTTGGTTTCTACTAGATGGAAAAACACTGACATCATATTGGACAGCTCCTATCTTCCCCTTTTCGTCTAGAAAAGCAGGACCAAAATGAATAAACAAATAAGTAAGCAGACACTGGCTGCATACATGCAAGTACTGTACCATGAAATGCAAGGAGCCATGCCAAGATGAAGCTGAGTTTCTATAGCAATGGATGAATCCTTGATTCATTTGCTTTCAATGGAAACATTTTGGAGAATCGGTTGGAAGTAACAGTCATCCATTAGGATAAGGTATTATTAGGTATTCAGCTCTACCCCTTCCTCCTGCCTGTAATAATCGCTCAGCACTTGTCAAGTGTCTGCCTTTACAAGACAAGTAAATGCACTTAAAAGGGGGAAATTGTGTTCTTTTATATATATGGGGGATGGGAGGGAGGAGGAGATGGTGCCAGAGCAGCAGACTAATAGAGGAACTGCGAAAACTCACTTAATGGAGCAGACAACGACTGGTGTGCCATCCAGCTTGGTAGTTTTAATTATTTGTCAGGTGAATTGGGGCTGTTCTGCATAAATGGAATGGAACGGAACTGAATCGCAAATATGAGCCCTACGGGGTCCTCAGATCATACCGCTAATTCACTCTTGAGAAACTGGCTCACCACTTTTTCTCAAAAAATGTGGGTTTTCCTGGAATGTTTAACGTGGGGAGGGGGCAATCGAAAGTGAAGAAGAGTCTGATTCTCTCCCACTGCTGATAAGTCCAGGCAATGTCTAATGAGCTCCCCCAAGGCCTCTTCGGAGAAAACCCATCTCCGGCTGCAACAACAAAAGGAGAAAGAGCCTTTGGAAATGACATTTACATAGTGTTCTCCCTCACTCACAGCCCTGCCAGTGATCAATATGTTAAAAACATTTCCAGGAGAGGGAGAAGCAGAGAAGAAAATTTGTGATAGAAAAGAATGGAAAACTTATAACCTTCTCAATGGTATGGGTGATGTGTCAGCTTCCTCTCCTTAATGGGTTTAATTTTATCAGTGTGCCCATGTGTACTTTTCCAGACTTGAAACACAATTATCCTTCTGCTCCTCAGATTCTGTATGTTGTTAAGCTATTCTTGTCTCAAACATATGATACAAAAATGTGTGTAGAAAGAAAAGGCGTATTTCCACTTGAAACACAATTATCCTTCTGATCCTCAGATTCTGTATGTTGTTAAGCTGTTCTTGTCTCAAAAATATGATACAAAAATGTGTATGTTAGGCAAATGTGTGTAGAAAGAAAAGGCGTATTTCAGAGGAAGTTGCATTTGGAATTGTATACAGTGGTGCCTCGCATAGCGATCGCTCCGTTTAACGACGAAATTGCTTTGCGATTGACTTTTTGCCATCGCAAGAGCAATCGCTTTGCGATGATCGTGGGGAAGTGATCATCGCAAAGCCCCCATTTTTGCACAGCTGATTGGCGGGGGCTTTGTGATGATCGCAGGGAAGCGAATATCGCAAAGTCCCATTTTCGCACAGCTGATCGGCAGTTCCAAAATGGCCACCGGGTAAACAAAATGGCTGCCTGCTGTTTTGCTTCGCTTTAGAGGCACCGAAAATGGCCGCTGCAATGGAGGATGTTCACATAAGGTGAGTTTTTAAGCCCATAGGAATGCATTAAACGCGTTTTAATGCGTTTCTATGGGCTTTTTAAAATCGCTTAGCGATGAAATTGCATAGCAGCGATTTTTGCTGCACAGATTAACATTGCTAAGCGAGGCACCACTGTATTTGAGAGAGATGTGTACATAAAATGGATATGAATTTCTGGGCATTAAAATATATACAGTATGTTAAGCATGTTGCTGAAATCATGATGAACAGACTGATGTGGAACTGGCCTGGGTCTAACAGAAATCTGTACATTCATCATCATCATCATCAATGTATGCTGTCAAGTCAATTCAGAGTTATGGCACAGGAGGCTGAACACCCCAGTGGAGCTTCTGTTTCATTGTTGTCTTAACAAGGATATAAATGTTGGCCCAGTTCTTCATGTAGTAAACGAGTTAACATTACAGAAAAAAATCTACTTTATGCAAAAATCAGGACAAGGCAGGATGGTCCCCAAAACTATAAAATGCAGGAACAGGTGATTGGACCATTAAGAAGAAGAAAAATCAAGCTTTCAGTGATAATTCATCTTCGTCAGCTGTGCACCAAGTTTTCATGGTAGTTCCAAAATTATATATATTAAAGTCCAAAAGTTTTGTAATCACTGTTGGGGGGCAGGTGTAGCTTCTTAGAAGGAGATAGCTGCAGTCTGCAGTCTCCAAGATGCTCATGGGGGAAGGGTGTGGTTTCAGTCCCCTCTTCAGCTAGTGGTTTGGAACTGATGACCCATCTCTCTAAACAAAAGGTGTTCAGCACTCTGCCCACCTTCCTTTTACCCTTTCTGCCTTGATTTGAAACACAAAGCGTTTCAATAGGCTGGTCAGGGCACCAACGGAAGACCAGTTAAGTTCTTGAACATCATGGACTCTTGAAACCAGATAAGTAGTATAGTGGTGCCCTGCATAGCAACGATAATCCGGATAAATCGTTGCTATCCAGAATCGTCACTATACGGGGCAAAAAAACCCATAGGAACGCATTCAACCCTGTTTAATGGATTCCTATGGGGGCAAAACTCACCGTTATGCGAAGATCCTCCATACGGCCTCCATTTTCCCCACCCCAGTAAGCGAGGAAACCGCACGAAAATGCTACATGTGGCCATTTTCTTCACCCGGCGGCCATTTTGGAACCGCTGATCAGCTGTTTAAAAAACATCGCAATGCGAAGATCGGTAAGCAAAACGCTTTTGTGATTGCAAAATCCGCACCGCTATGCGGATTCGTCGTTAAACGGGGCACTTGTTATGCGAGGCACCACTGTAGTGCATGCTGAAGAAAGCATCCACCATGGTATGCAAAAAGAGGTTGTAAATAAAACTTCAATTTCACCTGGATGGTGGGAAAAAATACCCAACAAAACGGGTATTTCTATTTTAGAAAATACTCTGTCTGTTCTAGCCCTCAGTTAGGGCTAGAACAGGGTCCAAACCCACTTCAGGGTTTGGAGATATCATTGTCAGACCATCGTGACATGACCAGTCTTGACTAAGACCTCAGAAATAGTGAGATATCTTCACATCCCCATGTATATCCTTAGAAGAGTGTTACCAACTCCCACGTTTCATAATCTTAGTCAGAAAATTATGGCTTATTGCTTCACTGTAAACGTATATCCTTGTATCAGCCGTTAACCACCTTGATTGTGAGTATAAAGACATGGCTAAAGTCCATTAGGGTAACTAATTTGTATTAAATTATCTTGACTCTGTGCCTGAGGCTCTTCCCCAACACTGCCTCCAATTATATGGCACTAGTTGTAGCCGGAATGTGATCTGCTTTCAGCATCACACAAGGCTGGCATCTTTTATTTATGTATTACTGAAATAACATTGATTAAAACTTCTTTTCGCTTGGGTCAGGCGATGAAAAGGGAATGAGCATGTCAGTGTGCTAATTGCTTTCTTCACAGAAGTGCCTCGAAGCCTTATTTTAAGGACCTAATCCTTCCCTAGCTCAGCAGTCTGTCCCCCTGCCCCCTAATAAGATGGGAACTGTGGGGGTGCATTTAGAGAAGGAAGAATAACGCAGACATTGTTTTAATCTCCCTTACAAAGGTAATTGCTTTCTGATTCTTCCACACCCCTTTCCTCGGCCTGTTCCGAGAGATGGATTTCCCTCGGAAATTGTTTCCCATGTCTCAAGTCTGTGGAGACAGGATGGGGCCAGTGTCATCCCAGCTATGCATTAATAGACCTTCAAATGAGATTTCACAGCCTCAAATCAGATTATTTCTAGGGCTTCAGTTACCCCAGAGTGCAGAGATTGACAGATGCTGATGGGGATCAGCCCCACAACAACCAAGAGCATTGTGAACACACAGATCAAAGATTGTGTGCGTTGTATGTTTGCATGCATATGTAGATGTGTGTGGTGAGGAAGAGATGTGAGAATCCTAGGAGGCGATGTTAATTCCACAGGCTTGAAGATCACCAGTCTGTAGAAGCAAAATGGGAGAGGCCTAGAAAATGGATGAGAAGCGTTCTTGCTGGGCTACTAAGATCAACCACTGTAATGAAATCATTCCATAAAGCCTACTAAGTATATTTAACTAGCAATATTGGGGAGCTGTATAGCTACATTTACTGCTCTCCTGGGAGCCAGCCTCATGGTCACCTGATTTTGTTTATTTGTTAGTTTTTGCTAAGAGACTAACCTTTTGTGATCAATGTTTAGTGCAATATATAAAGCAAAGAGAAGGGTGTGATTCTCTCTGCAGTAGAGAATTGTGTGTGTGTGTGCTGAGAGGGACAGACTGGGTAGAAAGAAGTCCGTCTCTTAAGAAAAGGTACATACAAAAGTTAATGTTTTAGAGACAGTGGCATGTAAAATTATGTATGAAAGGAAAGCCGTACATATATCAGGGGAAATGCACACACACAGATAAGTAACTTTGAATGTTTGTGTTGACTTTTACATTTTTGTGTACATATATCAGGGGGAATGCACACACACAGATAAACTATGAATGTTTGTGTTGACTTTTACATTTTTGGAAATGTGAACCTACCTAGTTCTTGCTTCCAGAATCATACATTCCATTGTAGTGAATGATTAGTAGTGTGTTTAGGTTTAGGATTGGTATCAGGGGTTCAGTTTTATATAAGATCATTTTACTTATTTATTCACACATCTTATTTGTTTATTTATGTATATTTATTTAGCACACATATACTCTGTTTCTGCACAAAGTGGCATTCAGAGGTGGCTTGCAAACTTCATCAATTTGTTAATTTATGTATATTTATTTAGCGCATGTATACTCTGTTTCTACACAAAGTAGCATTCAGAGGTGGCTTGCAAACTTCATCAAACAATAGAAATAAATACAGTGGTGCCTCGCTAGACGATGATAATCAGTTCCACTGAAATTGCTGTTTAGCAAAATCATTGTCTAGTGAAAAGCATTTCCCCATTGGAATGCATTGAAACCTGTTTAATGCATTCCAATGGGGAAGAATCGTCGTTGTCCAATGAAGATCGGCCATAGGAAAGCTGCTTTGCGAACTGCCCATCAGCTGTTTAAATCACTGTCTTGTGAAGCTTAGGTCCCGAAAACACCTGTTTGCGAGCATGGAGGGAGCTGTCAAAATCGTTGTCTAGCAAAAATCAGTTTGCGAAGCAGGGACCAAACATTGTCCAGCGAAATTCCCCCATAGGAATCACTGTTTTGCGAATTGCTATAGCAATCACAAAAAGCCAATGTCTAGCGGAATAACTGTCATGCGGGGTAACTGTCTAGTGAGGCACTACCGTAAAGCCATGTTTAATCACAATATCATTAAAATAAAGTCCAACTCTACTATAAAATCTATTAAGTGCACAAAAATCACAGGGGATTATTTGCCACTTAGTGTTTTTACACCCTTCTTGAAAACAGTCAGAGTGGCACCTGATGTCTGATGGGAGCATGTTCCACCCGCTGGGCTTCTGGGTGGTATTTTTCAGGAAGTCTCTTCTGAAGATCTTAACATCCAGGCAAATGGTCCCTTAGATAGCTGGGCCCCAAGAGATTTACGCTTTTAAAGATTAAAACCAACACTTTGAATTGGGTCCAATAAGCAACTGGCAACCAATGCAGGTCTTTTAGATTCTGGGTGACATGAGCACTATGCAAAGCATCAGTTAGTAGCCTAACTGCTGAACAGTGCAGCAACTTGAA